ATATATTTATAGTGGTGTTTCATTTTAATCATGCAAAAATGTAGGTTTTGGGTTACTTTTTTAATCCAAAAATTGGGGATTTTTTTTATCAGAGAAAAGCAGGATCCCTGCAGATGAGCACCAAGAACTGTGTAGATATAGTTATGTCTATACATTATTTGCCTACAACATAGTTATTATGTACAATGCCGTATGATCATCTAATAAAAGATTCTGATTAAATGTATTCTGTAAAAGGAATAAAACATAGGCCACAAAGGGTGCATACAAATGCTCAAATCAACCAGTTGAAGTTCAGCCTTTTTGGAGTTCAGCTGATTGATTTTCAAATGGTTTAACCTATACATAAGGGCAAAGGGCTGTCTGCGCACTCTGCAGGCAGCCTGCAGTGCTAAAAAACCAGGCCAGGGGGACCTACAGCACACATCCCAGAGTGCTTTTCAGGTTCTTTTGTCAGCCTAGATATAAGTGAAAGAGGCCCAAGACTTAAGTCAGGACAGATTGGCTGGTGCCCTAAGGAACCCCACCCCCTCTCCCCCCAATACCTCCCTCTCTCCGTTACAGGGGCGCGAGAGTGGGAGCAGTCTCTAGTGCTGGTGGGTAGTTTTCCCCCACCACTACCAGGTGGTGGTGGGTATGACAGCTCCAAAACCTCTGAGCTGTTGAGAGGGTCTGGGCTTTCCCATCCTCTCAGCTGTCTGGGGCGGGGTTCTCTGTCACTTAGGCTAGCACAGTAGACCGCACCTTAAGTTACAGAGCATCTCCTAGGAGGGGAGGGGAGCAAGAGCAGGGCATACTGGGATGCTGAAGGAGATCTTTGGATCCCCACTTGATTGGGGTGTTGTGCAATCATTTGGTTGAATGCTTGCACCCCACTCATTTTAGACTTCAACCTTATCCAATGCAGTGGAGATTTCCACTGCATTGACCATTTTTTAAATGGTCGAAGTACTGTGACCTCTTGTTCTGCAGTTCCACTGGTTGACATGCAGTGTTTGTATGTACCCAAAGGGAACCTTAGTTCTCAATTTCCAGACTCTGGTATGATTCCACTTTCAAGCTTAATGTTGTAATAATATAGCTTTTAAATGGAAGTGCCATCTCAGCTGTAATTATAATGTCATGCCTGCAGTGCTAGCATGTAAAATCTTTAAGGGGAAAGATTTTCAAAGGTGTAAAGGGCACTAAGACAGCCAACTGCTAGTTGTGCATTAGAAACATTGTCCTGAAATGACAGCAGAAGCTATTAAGTATATAGGTTTAGGAACAGTCTTTTAAATAGAACCTATTCCATGCTCTAGGCTATAGTCTTCACAGTGGCTTCTTTGTTCATGAGCTAGCAACCACACAATTTTAATGCAATCAAATTACCAAGCAAGCAGGGGTAAATCCAGGATTTTGTAAAGGAGAGTGCAGGTGCAGCCACTGGCACTCCAGCGTTAGCTGTACCCTCTGCTCCCAGGCTCCCCTGCACACACCAGGGTGGATCGATTACAACAGAGGAGCAACAGCCAGGGTCTTTTTTTTTAAGTCCCTCAATCAGGTATCTTTCCTCTCCTTTTCCTTCCTCTCCATGCATAGCGGCATGTCCTCTCCTCTCCCATTCCCCCTCTCCCCAGCCCACCGTTTCCACTTCTCGTAGTGTTCCCAACTGACCTGGGGAGCTGTTGCATGTGGAAGCAGGCTCAACAAGAGACAGCAGCAGCATTGAGGACAGGAGCAGGTAGGTTCTCTTCCTTTGCAGTTGCTTCTGGGCTGTCAGGGAAAACCTGAGAGGACCAGACACGAGAGTAGGAACCTGCCTTTCACTGCCACTCTCTCGAGTTGAAACCAGTTCCCTGTGGAGCATGGTTGGATCAGGCAGGAGTGGCTCTACAGGGTTCTCCCAGCCCTGCTCCCAGGGCAGCCAGAGGTAACGGCAGCGGTGGTTGGAGGGGAAAGGGAAGGAGAGGGAGAGTGAGGTGCTGCTGAGCATAGAGGGGAAGAGAGGGGGGAATTCTTCCCCAGCTTGGGGACTTTAAAAAAGTCCCTGGCTGCTGTGCCCACAGTGTCATCAACTGAAAGGTACATGCCTCTATGGCAGTACACCTCACTGGATCTACCTCTGCAAGCAAGCAACAAGGAGAGGAGGTCTTAGAATCACTGGTCCATTACTCCTGTTACTGTAAAGGTTGATATTGTAGAGTATATTTATTTATTCTAAATTATAACCACAACATGCACTTTCCCATTAAATTATTGTAGTTGGACCAGGCAGGATTTCTTAGAGTGATATCTTTTATTGGACCAACTGCATAATAAAGGTGGCTGTGTCTTGGTTGTGGAAGTATTCTTTCAGTCAAAGTCTGTGGAAGAATTCTTCTAATTCTGTACGTATTCATATTTGGGCCGACTTTTTAGGTTGAGTACCGTAAAACTGACTGCTCATTTAGATACCTAAATCTATATTTAGGTGCTCAACTTTGGGCATCTTTGTTTGAATATTTTGACCTTGGTATCTGGATTTTACAGTGATGAATACAGAACCTTTTTGTAATATTCTCGTCAATCTGGTCATTTCATTCAGAGACCAACTTCATTCTTTACTGAAGACATACAACTCTTTTTATACTGATCAAGAGAATCTGCAACTTTCATATAATCAGGTAAGGTGTAAACAAAAACAAGCCTCTACTTAAAAAAAAAATAACAATATAATTAGAGCAAGGGAACTCTTGGGGGTTTGGTGCATACTACAGGTGAGCTAGAAAATGTGAGGTTCCAGAGTCCAGAAGTGCATTTGTGGCATGAGATGAGGGGTGCTTCAGCAATCATAATATGAGTCTTTACAAATAAGAAAGTGAGCATTGAAGCTCAATTCTCAGTCTCATACTTCTTGATTTGGGGAAGACTCATACATACTAGAGATGCATTGAGGCATGAAAGGAGCTGTGGTATTGAATCAGCAGCCTGAATCTCCTGGTCCTCCTGCCCCCTGTTGCTAAATCTGAGGCAGGACTTCAGCAGATCTCTTTGATGATATTGCAGCATAGTTGTATTCCTCAGTCTGAGATCTATGGGAAGCTGTATGGTCTGTCTGGCTAGCACCTCAAATCGAGAGAGCTCCCTTTCTTACCCAGCAAGTCTATCGTGAGGGACCATCTTATAAAGAAGTCTAAAGCCTCTTATAAAGAAGTCACACTTAAGAACTTTTGCAGAGTGATGAAGGACTTTAAAAATGCTAAGGGACTGATTTTTCCAAAATGTTTGTCAGTTCCCTTTTTTTCTTTTGATTCCTGAAGCATACTTGCCCAATTGGTTTCACTAGGCCTAGTCACTTGACTACAGCAGGTAGGGTGTTGCTTTCAGTCACCACTGTTTCCCAGCATCTTCCTATGGACCTTCATTCTGTAAACCTGTAATAACATAGCATTTGTGATTTTGTTCAGCCAGAAGGCAGCAAGCCCACTGTTGAAGGAATCCTGTCTATCTTTTGGGGAGTACGGCATCCCATCCGGTTGAAAATTCAAGATGAGAAGCAGATTCCGTCTTTTTTAACTATGAAGTCACCAGAGCGTGAGGGTTTATTTCCTACCAAAAGGTAAATCAGTAACTTCTGTAAACAGCAAACAGGCTGACATTTCCAGGCATGCCACCTGTGTTGATAAAATAAAGATGATATTTGCAAACAGGATTTCATAATGGTTTGGTTTGTGTTTTGCATGGTGGAAGTCTATGCAAAGTTTCACTTGGTGCTTGTTTGGCTTTGCAATAGTTTTTGAAATGCAGACAGAAGATATTGCTTTGTAATGAGTCTAGCCTTTAAATAGCAATGTAAAAGTGTTGCAAAAAATCAGTGTAGTCACAAAAGGTCCATATGATCTTCTCATGACAGCATCAGGGAAACTTAGGAAGTTTGATCTTGGTGAGTTCCCAGGGCATTCTCCAGTTATGGTGAGGAATATCATATCGGTCTTGTTCCAGAAGTAGCAACTATTTTGCCTCCTGTGGTAGATTGCTAAAATAAGCTAAGGCTCCTCATCTCAACAGCTTCTCCTACCACTGAATGGACCTTTGTTGTGGCAATTAACAGCCTGGAGAGGGAAAGCGGGCAAGTTGATTCAGAATGGGAAGTTAAATTTCTGCTTTGTCAATTACCGCTTCAAAATTTTTCTACTAGTGTCACATTTAAATCATAAAGTAAATGTTTGTCATGATTAAAATCATGTAACCTGCCCTTTATTGCTAGCATGTTCATAGATATATAGAGCAGTTTGATCCTAAATAATCCAGCAGATACCCTTTTAATATCCTACCTGTAGAAAAGTATTAAGGCAGTGAATATTCTTCCTAAAATATTCCATTATGATTCATCAAGTTTCCCATTATCTGAGGACATTTCCACACAAATTATTTATTTTAGTATTTGATTGGCATTGTACTTGGTCAAAGACTGTTTATCAGAAAGTTTATTCTAATGAACTCAGGAAGCATTTGTAGATAGGAAGCTTGAGCTTGTAGTTAAAACACTAATCTGGAATTTAAGAGATCTGAGTTCAGTTCTGAGCTCCAAAATTACTGCATTTACTCCTAATCAACATGCAAAAAAAAACCCTTTTCTTGAATTTGGTTGGAGTCTGCCCCTATAGTCTGACCCCTGCTCCCCCACCCCTTCCTCCACATGCCTGCCACTCCCCACTCCAACCTGGCCAGGGAGAAACTGCAGCAGTTTCTGGCCTTGTCAGGTCAGGATAGAGGGATTGGAGATGGAGTAGATGGTTAAGAGAGAGAAGGGATCTGTGGGGAGGCAGGAAGTGGAGGGGTAGCTACAGGCAGGGGAGCAAAGTGTGGAGGGAAGACTGCAGGGAGAAACAGTGGGTGGGGGTCAGGCTGCAGGGGGCAGTCACGGGCACAAGAGACCAGGGGCAGGGAGTAGGCAGAAAGAGGCAGGCACAGAGGGGCATATGGCAGGGGGGCACATGGCAGGGGGTGTATGGCAGAAAGCAGGCAGCAGGGGGGACAAGCACAGATATGGGGTGAAAACAGACAGGAGAGTAAAGGTTTTAGGTCTGGCCCCTCCTCCTCTCCCCCCACCCCATTGGTTTCCCCACCACGGTAGTTGTGGGGCACAAATTTAAGATGACCTTCCACTAGTTAGATTCTATACATGGAAAATTATATCAAATTTATCATTTTCCATGTGTAGAATTTAATGATTAGGGGGATGTCTTAATTTTAAAGTCATCTTGAATTTGGATATATAAGGTACTTTATACAACACAGTGACAGATGCTAACGTGATATATGCAGTTCTGAACAAGATCTCACAAGTTTTACAAGATGTCTGACTGGGAGATAAATTCATTTCCCCCCCAGTAAGCAAGGAATATTTAACCAGAAATGCATGCTCAATCACTGTTTCAGGGGGATGACACGCTGGGGAGAGTTTGATAATCTGTATCACATTGGCGAAGAGACACTAAATACTTCTGAACAGGAGATAAACCATGAGAAAGGTTGGTGCCTATATCTTTATATCTTCTTAAAAAAAGTTTGTGGCTGTACAGACATCATCAATGGAAAAATTTAGTCCCCTGGGCATGTCTACACGAGCATGTAATGAGGGACCAGTTTACTCGTGAGTAAATTACTTGCAAGTAAACGGTCCCAGATAAGTGTCTACTCGTGCAAGGAAGCAGGAGCAAATTTGCTGCCAATGGCAGCAAGCTGCTCCCACTTCCTGGAGGCCTGCCATGGGCCCCTGCTGCCATCAGGGGGACCTCCAGGCTCCAGTTACAGATGCTAGCAGTTGGCAGCCTTCTTGAAAAGGCAGCCCCACTTGCTGCTTCCTGGCCAGCCCCTTCCTTGACCAGCAGCAGCATGCACAGTGCAGAGACAGCACTTGGCGGTGCTCTCCTTGCTGCTTGTGCCTCCACACATCATGGCTCCTCCATCCCCTGCCCCGACAGTGATGACCAGTGCTACAGGCTCCTGATGACCACTTCACAGGCCCTCTGGCCCACCACACCTAATGCCACTGTGCCTCCTCCACCAACGTGCCTCCTCCACTGTGCCTCCTCCACCTCCTACCACTAGTGTAGGAGCAGTAAGCATGTGCACATGAAGACATACATGCTTACTGCACAGTAAACTACACTACTGCATGGTTAAGTGTCTCGTGTAGACGCGCCCTCTGTATAGGAAGATCCATTTTTCTCTTGTTCCAGCTTATATTTTAAGGTGCTAATGAAATGCAAATGATCAAAAATAATTATGATAAATTTATCCTGCAATACTTTCACCAAGAAAATGATCCCCACAATGATGGCAGAGAGAATGCAATGCGTTGTTAATACTGGGAAAATGGGTAGCCACATAATGTGCACTGCGCTGATGTTTGATTTTATTTTCCCAGGTTACTCATCTTATAAAAACAGCACTCTGAAGCCAATGAGGAAACAGGAGTTTGACTCCCCTTCCCTGCCAAGAACCATGAGTGATGCTGCACTAGTGAGGAAGAAGACAAAGCATATCACAATAGCAAGAGAAGATTTGGAAAGTCACAGGTTCTGCATTAATGGACATTTCTACAATTATGAGGTGTGAACATGATGGTACCTTCAGTGCAAAATGACTGGACCAAATGCAGCTCTCGTATGAGCTGGTGTAAATATAAAGTGTTAACATTTCATATAAGCTGGTGTTAAAACAGTCACATTACTCCAGATTGAAAGTAGCGTAACTGAGATCAGAATATGGCTTATATTTATAGCTAAGAAATGAAACCTATGGCATAGGGTTCGTAGTAGAAATGCTGACATACACGCCATTGTAGTAGCTTATAATATTGTCATAGTGTCCTAATTAATTATTTTATATTCTCTCTTCCTTATAAGAATCCAGAAAAAATGGCTAAGTCTGTTTACATAAGCATGTCATACTTAGGGAAAGGGTACCATTTATGGTGTTTGTAAAGCATGCAGGAGTAAATTTAGAGCAGCAGACCATTCTAAGAATAGAAGAAAACACATATTGCATGACATAGCATATTGCATGAGCTTAATTTCACACCCATAATTTTCCCCTGGAACTGATATTAACACCACATTTTGTTGCTCATCTTGTCTTTTTAGACATCAGTTTTCATTCCAGCTTTTGGATCAGAAACTAAAATAAGAATAAACAGCAACATGAAAACAGGGGAGGTGATAGAACAACTGCTTCATAAATTTAAGGTAATTTTCTGTGCTTTTGAGGGGGGGAGGTCTCTGCATTCAAGCAGTACAAGAACTGCTTTCTAGAACAGATAACCAGAATATATGATTGCTGTCTGTTGCCTACTATAGGCAAAAACAAAAATATCCCAGAGAATGTTGCCCTAAATAGAAAGTATACCAACAGGACAATATGTGCTTTTCTTTAAAGAATAAGGGTAAATTACAAGGACAAGTATCTGATACACTCTTTGCTCTAATTTCTAGTAAAGGAGGAACTAGAAAATGACATTATTATAACCATATTTTCAGTAAAAATATATACCATATAATCAGTTTTGCCCAGAAGAGGGAGCTAATAACTTGCTTAATGCATATGAACATTTGTCCCTCTAGTGAGAGGCCCTTGAAACTATGGGTGGAAACAGCTTGACATTTCATTTGTGCCACCATAACATTTTTTATGGTGGCACAAATATTGAGCAAATAGATGATAATATGCTTTGCTGCATTACATGAAAGGGAAAAATCAGTGGCACAACAAAAGGTGGTAAAAGACGTTGATGCTTTATTACAGTAGACATGTTACCTCCGTGGTTCTTTCCCCACTCATCCAGAACCATACCCAGGATCTGGCTGAGTGGGGAAAAGTGCTTTCCTAATCAGCCAGACCCACATGTCTGGCTGGGCAGTGAAAACGCCACTTTCCCCACCCACCTAGATGCAGGGCACCGGTCTGGCTGAGCAGGGAAAGCAAAAAGGTCACATTGCACCATCAAAGGCAGGACAAGGGGCAAAGTGTCTTTCACCCAGTGAAGCAGATCAGCTGTGTTCTAATGCATCAGGCATGTGGACATGTGCAAGTAAAGTGAATTAATAAACTCCAGCAGTGTGCAACAGAATTTATTGCAGCAAGCAGCCCCCGTACTGAAATACCCTCATGGCCTAGCCAGCCAGGTCAACATCTGCATATGCTTTGCTGTGCATAAAAACACTCCACAGCAAGATAGTACTTGTATTTACAAGTACAACCCGGCTGCAGAGTTTATTTGTTTCCTGTGGCCTAATAGGACCACATGTGTAGACGCCAAGACATTTACTGCGGAGTTAATTAGGCAACTCCTCAGTAAATATCTCATGTAGACATGCCCATTATGTCACAGCTGATCTGCTTAATTTGGCTACATCTATTTCACACCTCTGATTTGCTTACAACTAAAGGAATTTTGCTCTACATCTAGGGGCAGGACTTAGGATCTTACTCACTGAAAACTCATGTGCCAAACTCATGAATAAACATGGTATTTGTGTGCAAGGAGCCTTGGAATATTTTATAGAATCATAATCTACAATGGTAGTGTACTCTAAGGTGGCTATAATAACCCTTCCTTTTGCTGGTGCTTATAATAACCCTGGCTTTGGAGATGATGCATTTGAACTTCTGTTTCAGAGTGCTTCTACATTTAATAAATAATTATCATCACTAACACCAATAGCAGGGCATTTCTTAAATTTGAGTGTTAAATTGAAAATGGCAAAAAACAGTTCTGGAATACTGTAAATAACCAACTTTACTAGTTACTCGGTAGCTGGAAGCAGGGAGAGGAAGATGATGCCATATCAAAGGGACTTCAGAAGTGTCTCCCCTCCTATATTTATGTTGTTAGTACAGGGATCCCAAATATCAAATTGTGATATAAATTTACAAGTTTGAGATGCATATCTAGTATTTGCTGATGGTGTCATCCTGAGGACAAATACAGTATAAAAAATGTGTTATTCAGTGTGCTGAAGATTTTTGTTTTTGACAGATTGAAAACAGCCCACATGAATTTGCCTTATACATTATCCATGCCTCAGGAGGTAAGCATACCAGCCAGTTTGATTCACCATTGCTCCACCTCTGTTTGTATGCTGAATGGGTTTTGGAGTCTTACCTCCTACATGATGGGGACAAGCCACTAGCATACCCTGGCTCCCCAGCTATGGCTTAGATCAATTCCACACCATTCTTGATTCCCAGTTACAAAGGAACAATATAATTGTGAAAAAGGGGAATTACCCACATTTATTCAGTGCATATTTCTCACTGGAGAATGCTGTGTGTTATATCAGAAAAAGTGGGGGTAGGAAAGAGTACTTGAGGACCAAACTCTGGGAAAAAAAATCTGTCCTAATTCACATTCTCTGTGGCCATGTCAACACAAGTGGCAGACTGCACAGTTGTTGCTGCATAGTCATTTAGTACCTGCTTACCCAAGTACTAAATGACTGCACAGCAACTGGTGCAACTGTGCAGTACCATCCCCACACGGGTTTTTTTATGCTAATGCATAGTAGCAATGAGCTACTGTGCAGTATCTCATTACTACTGTGCAGTATCATTGTCATCATAGCTAGTGCCTGTCAACACTATGGTGTAGTAGTGTCTCATGTAGAAGTGCCCACTAATTCCATTTAATTCTGTAGGGTACATGGCATCATTTAAGGGTGGCTCTTTTAGAAACTAGAAGTATACTGCTTTGAAAAGATACTAATGTGAAGCAACAATTGACAAAATTCCTTTGAAATGATAGTTTCCTAAGTACTAAGCCTACAGCTTTATTCCTCTGAGATTTTGCTTGTATTTTAAAGGTGTTAACCCTTATTTTCATATACCCAATTCATATTACTTGACCTTAAATGGCATATTCAGCAAATACATTTGTAGCTTCCCCTGCTTTCTTTATCTCACTAATAAAGAATAATAATACACTTTAACAAGGTAAAAGTAACATTTACAAATATTAGGAGTAAGGTGGACAAAAGAGGACGTGATTTACATGTTAAAATAACTTCAGACTAAGATGGCTAATGACCTCTTCTTATGTCAAACTATTAATGGTCAAACATTATTTTCAAAATTATACAAGGGAAATGAAGGCTGACAGTTTCAAACTAGTGGGCATGAAATTCGGGTCTAACTCCTTGTTATTTTACTCAAACTGAAATGTATGTTTCTGTGTATACCAGTTTCTATATAGATTCCTGAATATAAACTTAGGAGCAGAGGTATAACAGAGCACCTCCACGCCCTGGGAACAGCCAGTACATGGTGTCACTGCTGTAGTGCTGGTGGCACTGCCAGGTGCCAACTGCAATAAACACACTTAAAGACAGCAAAGCTTCTCATCTTGATGATACCTGCACAGAACAAATAAAACACTTTGGACCAACAGCAAGGGCCTTGTTACTCCAGCTATACAATATGTGTATAATCATATACAAAGTGCCCAAGATATGGCAACAATTATGTATTATCACCCTTGTCAAAATGGGGAAAGATCCCTCAGATCCAAAGCACTTCAAACCTATATCCTTACTATGTCATCTTTTCAAACTCTATAACATTTAAAACCATTTGTCACAGTTGCTGAAGAATATCTACTCCTCAAGCAAGCTGGGTTCTGCCCATGCACTGGTCAAGTATTAAACATCAGCACACTAGAGATGGCTTTGAAAAAGAAATTGTCACTGGTGCCATATTCATAGACCCTTCAGCAGCTTTTGACTTTGTAAAACACTGAAGGCTCCTTGCAAAAATACGGTGAAAGGTTACTGAGCACTATGAATAATATAGCCTTGCTAGAAATTTGATGATTCTACATTGAATTATGCAAGAAGTGGAGTCGATGGCAAAAACAGAGGAATGGCTTACCTGAAGGAGACATGGTTGCACCTATACTCTTTCATATCTACACCAATGATCCACCAATTCACCCAGGCATAAGAAATGTTATTTAGGCAAATGACTTGTATACTACCACCCAAGCTAAGAATTTCACCCAGGTTGAGGTCACATTGGCCTCAGTGCTCCGTGGGTTGTCAGATTTTACATAAGAAATCAACTACATACCAATCCAAATAAAACACAGGTTACCTTTAAACCATTCTAAGCCTGTGGAATGGTAGATGGTGTTAAAGCTAGAACAGCTTCAGGACAGTCATAGGTAAAGACTTAGTGCCATCTCTGACCTGCACAACTGTGATTTACTAGTAAAGGGTTTGGCGAGCAAGGGCAAAACTATGGGGATTAAGTGTGGCAAAAGCATGAAGCCTGTGGAAGCATTTCTCCCCAGGCTCCATGCTGTCACTATGCTTTACACTGGGCAGTCTTTTCCCTCCTTTCCCCACAAGAACATGGGAGCCTGGGGTTGGAGGCCATCCCACCACCCCCAAATTCTCCTGACTAGGGGAAAGCCCCCCAGATATTGGGCAGAGGCTTAGTCCTCTGAGGCGAGGACCATGTACCTGGCCCCTGGCCCAAGAGCCCAGGTCAGTCTCCTGAGGTTCTTGGAGTCAGCAGCATGGTACATTGTGGTCTGAGGGACATATCTACTGCAGGTAGGTGGGGGTGTTGGGTTGGGGCCAGCACCAACTCCTCGGCTTAGAAGGTTGGAAAATTTGTCAGGGGGTATTGTTGCTGGGAGCCATGCATCCTAGGATGCTGGATGACTGCAAATTGGTCACTTTGGGTTCAGAAAAAATGAATTTTTTTGCCTGATCTGGCCACAGAAAGTAGCCTATAGCTGTGACCAAACAGATGTGCATGGCTTCAGACACCTTCAAAAACAGCTCATCTGGTGATAATCTAAAGATGTTTCAAATGTTTCAGATGAAGATGTTTCAAAACAGAGTGTCTTCAGCAACTTCGTGTGAGTTGCCTCCAAGCCTGTCACTGTTTTCAGAACGGGAGGAGAGAAAAGGAGTGGAGGGACTTTAGGCTGGGAGTTTTTCAGCCCCTACAAAGCTTGCTGAGTTACAGCGAGGAGCTACACTTCTCTCTGTACCCTTTATCTCCATGGAGCAGACTAACAATACCCTAACTCAAGCTAGGTAGAACAGCTCAAAGATAACCCTCACCCAAAGTGGCATAACTTTAAGATACTTAGGGGAGATTTGGTACAGTTTAACACCCTTTAATGCATGGACACTCCTGTTTTAAGTGCCTTTAGAACAGTTTAAAGGTAACCTGCAACACTACTCTTAGTCTCTTCCATCTTCAGAACTAAAAAACTAGTAAGCAACTCAACCTAACCTGGAATGGAATAACCCTTATCCTCTGCCTGAATACTATTTTTGGGGGAGTGACACTAGACTGCACACTTTTTTTATAATGCACATGAAGAAAAGACAAAGTTCCCAAAACAACATATTAAAGAAGCTCATCAAATCCAAATGGGGGCTAACCCAACACTATTATAAGCTACTGTGCTTGCACATTGTTACTCAGCAGCTGAGTACACATGCCCAATTTGGAAAAGATCAGTACATGTGAAAAAGCTAGACACTGTGCTGAACAAAAGTTGTAGGCGCATTACTGGATGCCTTAAATAAATATCAATAGTCTCCATCTACTTGCTGGAATTGCCTCACCAGCCATCAGGAGAGCAGTAGCAAGAAAACAGAATGTATCTGACAGATCAAAGACAAAAGGTGCCCACTACCTGACCACACTGGGCTCCCAGTTGACTAAAATCATTGAAAAGTGGCCTCTCTAAAACTCAGGCACTGACAGCCACGCAAATAAAAATGTGTCAGTCATGACTAGAGGTAACCCAGGAGGGAGTTAGGATGAATATCAAAGCTGTCCAATATCTCTCAGCAGGTATAGAGCTTTATTGGCCAATCTGGAAAAGCTCGAACCACCTTAGAACAGGGGTTGGTAGAACTGCAGAGATATTTTAGCAATGCAAACACTACTTGCAAATCTGGAGGAAACTTTCAGACAACAGAACAGCTGCTGGCCTTCCTCAAAAGTATGTGACTGTTTCTGGACCCAAATTTGAACATGTGACTGAACACAAGGAGGAGAAGGTGAAGGCACCAACTGCAGCGGTGGCTCTTTCTGTGGCTCACCCACCCCCAACTCCCCCACAAAGCAGCTCCTAGGGCTGCTGTCTCAGTTGCACACACCTCCCCCTTCTCCCAGTTATGCTTCTGCTTAGGAACCTCATTTTTGGTACCTGGTTCAGAAATGTTGGCCTTAGTTCCTTAGGGCCATCTACTCCTATACAATACATTTGTATGTGGGACTTCTGTTTATGTTTATGGCAATTTGTCAGTCAATGGCTGTACATGGCCTTAGGCTGAAAAAACTAAGACAAGGAGATGCTCTTTGTCTTAGGCACTTGTACTCTTCTGCATATTATGCCACAAAATGACTGTGAGAGTTAATTAGTATATTTTAATTCCCAGAAAAGAAACAGCTCAAGAACACAGACATTCCACTGTTGGAGAGAATCTTGCAGGGACCTTCAGAAAAAATTGCCCAATTTTTTCTCATGGACCAGGATGCAGAAGAAGTCAGCAGTGATGTACGTACAGTATAATTCTGCATATCTCCTTATACTCTCCCCATTTCTTGCACTTCATTAATGTGCCTTTCCTACATTCTCCCAACAGGTTGCTCAGTACATTAAGTTTAATCTATCCTTTTTGGAATCAATTCTGTGCAGACTAAATGAAGAGGAAGAACTGGAGATTCAACAGACTATGTCAAAGTAAGTAGGAGAGAAATAAGTGAGCTTGCTTAATTTACTACTTTCAAAAAAATATTACATTCATTGTCATTAGTAGGTTCCCCAATCTATCTACCTACATGGAGTATGGTGTAACTAGAGTGTGGTGCTGTAGCTATTGCTGCATTCTTTTGATGGCATTATGGCACACACTCTGGAGGATACAGCCTCTGTTCTCCGGAAGTTCTTGCTAATTCAGTCAGAATGTCTCTGGGAAGTGGTACTGGGTAGAGCCTCTCTACAGCCAGCATCCCTGCTGGGCTATTGTTGCTGTGAAAAATTCAAAAGCAGACTCCCCTCATAAGTGTGTATCATCTCGCAGTGATTTAGAAGAATTAGGAAAGGTGGTTCAGTGATGCTTCAGATATTAACCTGGGATTCAGGAGACTCAGGTTAAATTTTATGTCCCATCACAGAGTTCCTGTCATTGTTGAACAAGTTACTTAGCCTCTTTAGGCCTCTCTTAGCCATCTGCAAAATTCGGATAGTACTACTTCCCTTATAGGACTATATACTTGAAAAACTTGTGAGGCATGTAGATACTACAGTAATCATATAAGTACCTATTCAAGATGGAGATAAAATGCTTAAAGCTCCACTTCTGCTAATGGACGTGAACTTTCCTGATGCCAACTGAGGATGTACTTGGGTAGCTCCTTTAGAAATGTAGTTGAATTATTAAATATGTAGGAGACGTGAGGTCAGTAGAAGTCAGTCAATTTACATCAACTGGGGTTCTGTTACCAGGAAATTGTTTTGGATTGAAAGGGTCTGGAAATTTAAAAAGAAAAAAATCAATCAGATTTTTTAAGGAAAAATATTGCCACTTCCAATTGGAAACTTTTTCTGGTATGAAATTTCGACCTACACAAATATAATATCAATATTGTTAAAATTAAAATTGTATGCATAGCTCTGTGTGCTCTGAAATAATTTCTGTTGGTCTTTGTTTCAGATACCTTAAAGCGAAGACTCTATTAACTCAGCACCTTCACACTAGAACTGTAAAAAAAACAGAGACTACTGTATAGCATTGTGCTTCTAATAAAACGCTTCATCTAAGCCAAAGGAGATTTGATATTCTGTCCCTAACGATCCTGGAAATATTAAGAAGACTGTGCCATTACAGAAGTCTACAACATATGGGCCTGTAAAGCATTGATGGTTGTGGCTGGTTACTGTACAGCTGGGATTGAAAGAAACTCTACTGCAGTTTCAGAGCAGGAGTGGAGAGCAGCAGGAAAAAAATGTGTTGTCATCTTCAAGCTGCAAATCTGACATGAAACGTCAGCAAAGAGAAATTTTCATGAAAAGAATAAAGGTTTGAAAACCTATTCACTTGCAATCCACAAGCCAGGATATTGTGAATATATATAAGCATTTCCATCATCCCACTGCGTTAAGAACGGCACAGGAAACCAGAAGTAAAGTCATATGTTGTTTTTTTACATTCTGAGTTTAGGGAAGCTCTTTAATGGATTGAAGGGTCAGATGTACAAAGGTGCAGATAGGCCACAAATGGAATTTACTAAAACCTCTAAGAAGGTGAGGCACCTAAATCCTATGAAAAGTAGATGGCAGTTTGGCATCTAACTCACTGATCTTTGTAAATCAACCCTGTAGTGTTAAAATTTGAATACAAATTGGAAAAGTCTTCTCCACTCACAGTTTATAGCTATATACTTATAAATTAGCAAGACAAAGCAATTTTTTTTGGTGAAGCACTTTATCAGTTCCTGTATAACGAGCTTTCTCTATATATTATTTCATTTGTTTGATCAATTTCTTGATGATGCCACAAAGGTATTTTCATTAGAATAAGAAATAGATTACTTTCTCATGTCCTTTATCCTCCCCCTCCTCATTAAATTTAAGAGACAGAGAGGATGCATCTACATGTGCAATTAATGAGAAGTAAGATAACTGCTTCGTAAAATAAGTCACAGTAAGATGTGGCCAGGAACACATCTACACATTTGCTCCCAGTGGGAGCAGCCTGGTCCAGGACTGCTTCTGCCCTTCTTCCTTGCTTTGCTTCCCTCCCATCCCCCCCCCCAGCAGCCAAGGGGAGCTCCAGGCTCCCCTGGGTGCCAGCCTGCAGGCTGGCAGGGGGAATGGGGGCTGGTCCTGATGTGCATAGTACCATAGTGCTTAGGGTTAGAAGGGACCTAAAAAGATCATCAGGTCCGACCCCCTGCCCCGGGCAGGAACAGGTGCCAGGATCATATCACCCCAGCCACATATCTGTCCAGCCTCCTCTTGAAGACCCCCAAGGTAGGAGAGAGCACCACCTCTCTTGGGAGCCCGTTCCTGAGCCTGGCAGCCCTAACTGTAAACTAATGTCTCCTGATGTCCAGCCTGAACCTTATCTCTAACAATTTGTGGCCGTTATTCCTAGTAACCCTGGATGGTGCCCAGGGGAAGAGAGCCTCCCCCAATTCCCGCTGGTCCCCCCTGGTGAGTTTATAGCTCTGGTGATCATGGAGTCAAGGAAAGCTGTGCTGGCTGCAGAGGCCAGGAGACTGCACATGGGACTAGGAGACAGCTGCCTCTGCAACCTGCACAGCTCCCCCCTCATTGGGGCTTAGCCAGGCAGCAGTGGCCCCTTGCTGACTGGGAGCAAAATTGTCCCCAGTCACCATGTACACATACGCTAATGCACAGTACCTAATGCACCATTCCTCTAGTAGCTATGTGTGTTGTTGTTAGCAAATGGTGCATTAGACTAATTTAATGAGCAGTAAGACTAGTGCACATGTAGACGGTGACAATTTACTGTGCATTAGATTAGTTTAATCCACAGTAAAGCATCTCATTTAGATGCACCCAGAGAGCTTGGTTCAGCAGGAGAGAATGTGCAGATGCAATGCAGTCATAACCACAGTGGGCAGTGCTGGGGGACATTGGCATCATTCTTCCATAGCCCAAAAGATCTGAGGCCTCAAGCACGTCTCTTGTGTCTCTTAATGTGTGTGGGCATATCATTGTGAGAAGGCATCCCAACCATTCACTCCCACTTCATGCACCAAATATTGAAAATAAGTAATGTAGCCATTTGGCACATGCCCAGTGCTGCTCTCAGTTTCAGATATATTTACTGGAGTGTGCACAGTGCTATTCGAAGGTGGGTACATTGCATTCTTTTCAGGCTTGGCACTCCAGGATGGAAGCAAATGGGCAAAATATTTTCATGACATGCCCCCCTTCCCCCCCCCATCAGCACAGTTAGAAGCAACATAGAGTTTTACATGGTGTTCTCCAGCTGGATCAGCTCAAGCATTTTGCAGGGGTTGAAACTACAGACTGGTAAATAAAACCAGCATAACTTACATGGACAACTCACTGCCCTCTCCTGTCCTGATGAGGTTGCTCAAGGGGCTTCTATCTCTCTAGCTGAGCTATCCTTTACTTATGCAAATACCAAAGGGCAAACACTAAGGGTTGCTTAACCATGCAATCAGCTAAACTTTAATAACTGTCTTTCCTCTTCTCCAGAACATTTTTAACTTGCATGGTGGAGCAGAAATGGAGAGCACCTATGCTATCAGGCTCTACAATTTATTATCAGAAAATAGTTTTCAGGTGGAACTTCTTGTAATCCTGCCTACAAAGGCTTGTGAAGATGCTGATGTTTGACTAAAATCATTTAGCAGTTAAGATGTGCAGGGTACATATCAGCAACTTCAGTGGTAGACAACTCAGTCCCCTAAGATAATATATGTATGTACATAGGGGTCATAGCAGTATCTGAAGGAATGTGCAGACATTACACTTGGAATGACCTAATTAGGGCTAGACCAGTCTAAGTGCTGATCTGTACAGGAGGTTAAATCAGGCAAAACATGGCCAGCCCGATCTAACTTATTTCACCTGAGGAGGTGAATTAAGTTAGATCAGGAACAGTTTAGCCCAATCTAATGAATGTCTGTACACATTTGAATTGTAGCCCCAGGACTGGGAAAGCTCAGCCACTCACCTCAGCCCCAGGGCTGTGCTTTTCCTTGTGCCCCCCACCCGACCTGCCCTCCAGCTTGACTAAGCTAGTCCGCCCAGACTGAGATTGACTGTCAGGGGTGACCACTGATATACAGAAGAAGCACGGGTCCTAAGTCTGCTTCCATTCAAGTGAACAGAAAAACTGTCTTTGTCTTCAATGGAAGCTTTAGAAAGTACAAAACCTCACCATAAGCCTTTTGGGCAGTCTTTGAACCCAAAATTTTCTCTTTTCAGAGCAAATCTGAGAAAAGGTGACTGCTGTCATCCTATTAGCTAAAGGGTTTATTGTGTTATTTTTGTAAGCCTTGTTTCTTTAATGGTTTGCAATGTATCCAGTGCATTATTTGTACGAAACAATTCTAATGCGTATGCAAAACCAGCTGTTTCTATGCTGCAGAGAGCAACATACTAACCAGCTAAATAGTTATTTATGAATGTACAATATGAAAATATTTGCAAATTAAAATACTGGTAGTTCGGTAGCTATGCTGTGGTGTAAAAGTTCATCAATATGAGATCATACAGAGGAAGGCTGAGAACATATTGGGCCTCAAGGTTGCACACAGCTCCCAATTCAGCCAAGCACATTATCCTTTGCTTAATTTTTAAATCAAACTGGCCACGTCTACACAAGATGCTTACTGCACAGTAGCTCATTACTACTACACAGTAGGACCACCGGGCACGAACTCTGACGTGATGCTACTACACAGTGACAACGAGCTACTCTGCAGTAAGCATCACTAGGCAACCATACCAGGACAGCATGGCACAGTAATGCTGGTTTATGCACAGTCATTTAGTACTTGGTTATGCAAGTCAGTGCAGTCAACAACTGCAGTCAGCAGTTATGCAAGTCAACAACTGCACAGTCAGCATCTTGTGTAACCAAATCAGGACTTAATGGGAGGCAGTGGGAGAGCTTTGCATGTAAACACCTAGGAGCTGCAAAACTGGAATGTCCTGGGATAGATTCAAGGTGTAATATATAACGGATCTGTTTCAAATGAAATAAGATTATTCTGCTGGCTAAATGTACAATGCAGTTCAGTCTTTGCAAAAGAAATGGATACATAGATTCATAGATGTTAGTGTTGGAAGGGACCTCAATGGATCATTGAGTCCGACCTCCTGCCAGTGGCAGGAAAAAGTGCTGGGCTTATGTGACCCCAAGCCAGTTGCTTGTCCAGTCTCTTCTTGAAGACCCCCACAGTAGGGGAGAGCACCACCTCTCCTTGGAAACCCATTCCAAAAAGCCTGTTTCTTTCTTGGAAAAAATCAGAAACATTTGCTATCATTCTTGTTACATTAAAAATGATGTCTCAGCTAAAGCCTTCTATTTATTGAGAACCTGAACTCCCTTTGTTTTGCATTTTGTTCGAAGTGTCAAGCCAACTTTCCAATTGGCGCTGCAAGAATATACCGTAATTGGCTGCATCTTTCAAGACTTATGATTTTGTATTTTCAAGGCTGAGGTTAGGAAAAAATCAGTCATACAGCCCCTCTGAATGACTGTAAGAAGCTACACCCATGTACACTAAGCAAAGAATTCTAGAATTTCTTTTGGTTGCAATTTTAAACATAAAAGTAGCCCTCAGCTACATGGGGGTTCAATAGTACATTTTTCTTTGTACTTCTTTCCTGGGGTTATGCAGCCTTTTCTGAAATCATTTTAATTAGCTTTAGCATGGTGTTGCTTTTTCTTAATGACCTTTCATTTTTAAGTTCAATATTGAACATTTGCTTTATCTCTACTATGTCAAACCAATCAGCAGGAAAACATAAAGATTAACACACAAAGATTAAAGCATAAGTGAAAGAGCTAAGCATTTAAAAAGGGTAAATAAGATGTAAAACGTAAAGAAAAAAGATTTTACCTTGATTTAAGTGCATTCTTAATTTTCAGTCCCACCTAAATTCATGAGATTTAAGTACAGTATGTGGTTTAAATATTATCCTTACATGTATCCACTGTTTGGACTCTGTCACCTCTGCTTTTACAGTCTAAACAGACTTCAGACAGAAAGCTAGTCAGGACACAGACCTGTTTTCCTATATTCAGAGAATGCCAAATATGTTTTTGGACATTATAAAAATAACTAAGAAGCCTGGTTTAAAATGATAAATTCTCTGAATTGGCATAACCAGCTAAGGAAATACAGCTAAGAATTGGTAATGGTGCTGCAACAAGAACTGGTAATGGTGCTGTAGGAAATTGTTTTCAAGTAATTCTTCATGCAGTGAATCAACAGGCCAGGACAGGGAGGGAGGTGTTTTTTAAGTTGTTATTCATTATTGAATGGTCACAAAACTGAGAGATGAAAATAATAGAAGAATCTTGTTTCCTTCACTTGGGAGTTCTTAGACATAGATGGCAAAAAGAAAAGAAAGCACAGAATAAATGGAGCACGGATGAATTTTATCACCATCTTCTTCCACTGTGAAATATGAAGAAAAAAGTGATGACAGTCACAAGGTACTAATAGGCAGCTGTATTGTTCTTTGCATGCTGTTGCAGAAATATATGCATTAGTAAATTAACTTATAAATTAGTGATTGTCTGTGCTGTAATTTGAACAATATTCTATAAAAAAATACTAAATTAATCCATTATTATTCTATAGTGACTCAACGGAGAATTGAATTAAAAAGGACCAAGGTCTGACCCTTATGACTATAGATTCAGTGGACTTTACTTATACTAGCTAGGATAAAAACATAAAGGTTTTCAATCTGTATGCTTTTAAGAACAAAAAAAAAGTTCCCCAGCCTTCCCCCTGGCCCCATGAAAGATTGGCCACCTCTAGAAATAGAAGTTGCACCATTTAACTTTTAAATCAGTTTTCTCTAATTTAATTAAGTTGATACAAAACTCTGTCTGGATACTGTCAGTTTGGTCTTAGGGTTCCTTATTTCAGTTTAATTTTCACATTTCCCTGAATTTTTTGAGCTAAATTAATCCCACCCTGGTTGACTTCAATTAAGAGTGCAGAAAGCTGAACTAAAATAGATTCTCAATCACCCCTTCAGTTAAAATGTTCCAGTTCATGTGCTGACTAGGCTTAATGTTCCACAACGGGCCTTATTCATTATGGGGTTCCATGCCTTTCTTTGTGTCATCTACCTTGATTTGATCACTTTAGGGCTAGCAACTTGATGACCCAGAGAGAGTCCTAGTTGGTGTAAATTTCCAGAGTTCAGCAGTGCTCAAGCTTTTGGTCCCACAGGCCAGATGAATGGTGTGGGTCCAGTTCACAGGCCAGATGAAGTCCTGTGTGAGGATCAGGCTCCACGTGCCAGTATTGGGTCCTGAGGCCCAGCACTGCCCCTTCTCTTCCCCATGTGTAAGGATTGGGTCCTGGGGCCCAGTGCCACCACCTCTTGGCCCTTCATGCTGGGAAAGGGCCCTGGGGCCCAATGCTTCCACCACGCAGCCCTACATGCTGAAATTGGGTGCCTGACCCTGTGTGCAGGGCCCAAAGCTCCCCTTGGTCCACAAATTTGGCAGCAGGAAAGCGGTGCCACCACCCCTCTGCTACTAAATTTCTGGGCCTGTGGGGAACCCCAGGGGCTGGTTGACATGGATTTGTGGGCTGGAACTGGTCCATGAGCTGGGGGTTGAGTACTCCTACTATATATTGGCTTCGGTATAGCTACTTCAGTTTTCACCAAGTATCAGGATCTGGGTTTTCCACTGTGGCAATTCTTAAGCTTTTATTTACACTTTCTGTATATTCAGAATAGATATTCTTACTGCTGAAGTGATGTTACTGCTTTATGCAATTATGTTCCAATGAGATTACCTGAGTGGTTTTATTCTCCCAAAATAGTCTTGCCCTGGGTAATCAGATTTGGGCCCTGGCAAAAAAGACACAAAGCATTCATTAGTAATAAAATGCAGGAAGTTATGTATATTTGGATAAACAATATTAGCCTTGTCACTTCAGCAGCATTGTTTTCTGATTTTAAAATCACATAGCAGTACATATACATATAGTTGCAAGTCTCCCCCCATGCCCCATCC